AGAGACCAAAATAAGGAATACAATCCGAGACAAAAAATTTCAGTTCACAAAATTTACCTTAATCACTCAAACTCAAATTTCTAAAACTTCAATTTCAAGGAATCAATTATTTCATGTAAATTAAACACGCCGAACATGAACATAAAGTTACCATAAACATATCATATATAAATGATCTAGTGGTTCTTGTAAAAAATGAATAAAATGATCTAGTGGTAGGTTAATATTGAAAAGCAATGGTCTAGTAGTAGGGTAATATTAAAAAGCATATAGGAATATAATTAATAGCTAATCAACTTCTTCATATTTTATTGTATTTTGAAATGTATATTATGTTTATTTTAAATTTATATAAATAATATTAGATTATTTTAAATTAATATAGAATTTTGTATGTATGTTTTAAAAGTAAAAAAATTTCAATCTAATGATAATTTTTAAAAAATAATCATTTAATTAAAAATTATTATATAATATAACAGTTGATAAAAATTACAATGTATCATTTAATTTCTCTTTCATTAAATAAATATTATTTCATGTGAATTTTATCCTTTTTGATATTTGACACATCAAGCATAGACGGTGAAAAAGTAACAATTAATATGAAAAAAAATTACAAAAAACAAAAGTTAAACAAAAAAGTTTTTCATGACAAAAGGCGAAAACAAGTATATTACTAATATTATCTACCAACATGATAATTAAAATGTGAATACAAGATAATTAATAGATGCTTAAGAATCAAACTTATCTACTAATTATATTACATTTAAATTAATAAAAGATTAAATGTTATCATAAATTCTAAATATTTATTGTACTGATTATAAAATTTACTTATTATTTTAAATTTTAAAATGAAATTTTATTACCATATTATTATATTAAAATAATATTTGTGTATCATAATTGTACCTGTTAGAGGGCACACTCAATCTTGTGGGAAGGGCCGAACGAGATCTTCTAATGCACTCTTCGGAGAAGGGGGAGGTACCTGCAAAAGACACTCCGACGCTCAAGTTAGGGCAAACACTATTTTCTAGGGTAATTAAAATGAACAGTGACATACCTCGCTACAAGCGACCTATTTATAACACCTGACATGGGCCTGAGCGTGGTGAGCCTATTCTGACACTTACCAAATTAGGTAATACGGTGTTAATCGGCAGGTTATGCCTTAATTGTGCTTTTGTTCCTTGTTAACTATGATCGCTATCCTAATTACTCAATGTTGACTTTTGGCCGAGCCGATACAAAACGACCGAAACGTTTTCTCTCGGCTTTCGACCGAGCCGATAGGGGTGGAGTACAGCTTCGAACTCCTTGCCGAGTCGAAGTGGTATCTAGGCTGCGTCATGTTACGTGTCGGTCCAAGTGGCCGATCCAAGTGGTCGGGCCAAGGTGATGTTTGGGCTGCGTCGATATCTGATAGGACATGACGTGTCGATCCACGTGGCCGGTCCACGTGGCCGAGAGGGTCCTTCCGGTACAATAATAATTCATATATTTTTTGTATTCTAAATAAAATTAATTAAATTATTAAAATAATATTTTTTTCTATTGTAACAGCTACAGTAAAAAATTTATTGATTCACCATGATCATATGACGGCACAGGTTCACGGTAGCCGGCGCCTAACAAAAGAACTGCTATTAGTTTCATAAAATAAAAAAGTCATACATGTTGAAAAAAAAAATCACATGTTGGTTAAAAAAACTCAAAATATACCCTTCTTTTTAAAAGAAAAAAGTTCTTTCACAAAATTTTCTTTAAACTGCACTTATCGTTGGACTAATGCATGCACATTTAAATTTAAGAATTATATATTTATGTGTTTTCTTTTTGTACTACTCTACTATCAAAATTAGAGTTTTATTATAATAATTTATACTAACATTTAATGCAAATATTTATCATGCTTGTTATTAAGACAAATTTTAATTAAAAAAACACAAGAAGCATTTATAAAATTGCATCTAAATTTTGTTTTCATATTTATGCCGTCCCTCTCCGTTTGGAGATACCATCCATTTCCTTGCGACTTGGGATAAAAAAAAAAAAAAAAAGACAATTTGAAGTTATTATATTGCATAAACATTCTGTCCAATTGTATACTAAAGTATCCTTAGTGGAAACACAACTAATGCAAAGGACTTCATATTCTCTCGTTCTTTATTATAGTATACACTATACACAAGGTAATTTTTAAGTCAATATAAAAACTTTATTTGAGTAGGATATTCCTTCCTTTGATTTATGGGCTATAGATTCATTCCCAACTCTATAGATTGCTTAGGTGGATCTTTAATTAACCTTTGGAAGTTAGTGGTGTTCTTTTAGAGATATCAACCCACAGCAAAAAAAAGGCGACACATAAATTAATTTGTAGGACTAGGTGTTCTTTGTATATTAATAATTTTTTTAATTTTATTTATAATTATTAACTAAGGTTAAGTTAATTTTTAAAATAATTATGACATATAAAAATATATTTAGGAGTACAAATTATTTAAAATGATTATTGTATATATTATTTAAGTATAATTTTAGGCAAAAATGAAAAAGAGAGATGGTGTGGCCTCTTTGCTGCTCATCAAAATAATTTCATATTTCATTTTGAGTAGTTCCTAGGCCTTCCGAGTTGTGGTGCTAAAAATCAGTACAAATGGGCGGTGATCTGGTTGGCTTCAATTTGAAGTATTTTGTTGGCGAGAAATGAAGCTGTATTTACTAATAAATTCACATCTCCAAATGATCTGGTCGAATTGATAAAACTACGCTCTTGGAAGTGGCTGAAAGCTAAACATCTTGATTTTTACTATCCATTCTCTTGTTGGTTAAGGGAACCTGCTCCATGTCTTAATCTTTATTAAGTTAACTATATATGGGTTGGAGCACCCCTTGTACTCGCTTTTAATATATTTCATTTTGCCTAGCAACAAAAAAATGAAAAAGAGAGGATGAAATATTCATTTCCAATAAATATTTTGTAATTTGATAATTTAAAAAAAATAAAATGATAAATTGATAGTAATTTGATGTTTTAAGTAGTGTTTGACCTAATTTCTTTTAGAACTTAAAAGTTATTTTAAAATTGAAGTTAAAATAACCTTAAATTTTAAAGTTATTTGGTAATTGTATAGTTTTTTAAACTAAAAAAAATACTTTTAATTATCTCTCTCTTTCTCTGTCTCTCTATTGTATCCTTGAATCTTAATATTTAAAATAAGAAATAGAAGTCAATAACTCTTAAAATTATCATCTTTTTAACACTTTTTTTTTCAAAGTTTTTCAACATTTTTGTTAAAAATACTGTTTTCTTTAAAAATTATTTGGCTTAAACTATCCTTAAAAATAGATAAGTTCAAAATAAATTGAGTTAGAAACTACTTTAATCCTTTTATGTGCTTTTATAAGTATTATATAATTCTCATAAATTAAAAATAAAATCCCCCCCTTTTTTTTTATAAAGTTTAATTATTAATTTTATCTTTTATATTTGTACAAATTTTCCATTCTAGTCTCTGTATTTATATATTATTTATTTTAGTCCTATAATTATGGTCACTGAAGAATAAAACAGATTAAAGAGTATAAAAGTATAAGTGTACAGGCTAAAATAGATAATTGTTATATTTAAGGACTAAAATGTAAGAACTGTATATGTATCAGAATACAGCGAGTAATTAAATTTTTTTATTAAGAAAAAAAAAAACTAGTCCTGAATAGATATGAATCATCTTAGAAAAAAGTTTCCCACGATCTTTCCACTCTACCTTTTTTTTTTCTTCTTCTTCTTCTTCATATTTCTCTATCATTTATTTTATTTTATTTATTATTGTATTTCTTCCTCTTGATTGGAGATGCATGAACTGATATAATATCCCCCTAAATATATCCTAAATAATCTCCAATTTTATTTTTCACACGAATTAAATGGTTAGAATTAACTTTTAGTAACATCTAAACTATGAAGTGTCATATAACAGTTTTTTAACTCGCAAATATATATTTATCTCTCTCGTTTCACAATGACACATATAATCAATTAGCATCTTCTGGTACAAAAATTATTATTATTATTATTATAAAAATAATTATTATGATAATAAAAATAAAAAGAATAAATATAATAATAAATTATTATTAGATATATATAATTTTTTTTATTTAAAAAATAATTTGAAATATAACAATGAAAATAATAATAAAAATATTTAATAGGTTAAAAAATTTCAATTTAATTTAATATAAATTAATTAAAAAAAATTATCTTCTCTTTCTATTTTCCCTATCAAAACTACCTTAATTTCTTACCTAATTCATTTATCTTCCCTTTAGCCTCCCTTCCAAACATAACATTAGGGAAATGAATAGTCATCAAGTGTGCAGCTGTTTTCCTTTTTGTTGGATTGTTCTGTCGACAAAAGGGACATTTCTTTCACGATCACGTCATGTTGGATTAACAAACTTTTTTGACATTTCAACATAAAAAAATAAGAATAAATTATGTACTCCATTAATTTCTTTATAGTTTTATTTTATAAATATCTCTTCTTGACCATTGTTTCATCAATTAGTTCTTAAATTTATTGCAAGTGTTAGTTAACCTGTGGAGGATTTTGTGAGTGGAAATTAAATTAAAGTTTTGATTAAGAATAGTTAGGGTCTGAGTCTGATTATACTGATCTATTATTTATTGTGACTAGGTGGAGTTAATTGGTTTAAAAATGTGCATTATAAAAAGCAGACCCTCCTATCAACTCCCACTTATCGTATTGGTCCCCGCTGATAAGCATCCCTTCCATCAACTTTTTACGATCAACCTTAAATGAATCATTACAATGCACCACTATACTAACCATGCATGATGCATCCCTCCTTCTTCTTTATCCTTATTATCAACGCATAACAAACAAAAAGTCACAAAAAGAAAAAAAAGAAAACAGAGATATACACTGCAGTGCGTATAGAGAGCTGTAAGCACATGTTTTTCAGCTTCAGTTTCACGTTCATGTTGCATTATTATATATAACATGTCCCTCTTACCACACATTCTTGTGTTGTAACCTATTATTATTGCCTTTCTATACATGTTCATGCCTCCAAATCACTTCTTCGTACCAACGCCATTTCCATTTCCATACATAAAATTCTCAGAGCTAGAGAACCTTCCACTGATGCCCTTCTCCCGTGTTTTTGTCTGCGTGTTTTCTTATATTACATGTGTTGCAACATTAAACAGGAATGAGTATAATGGCTAGGACCCAATCAAGCCACCCTTTGGACCCTTTATCTGCAGCCGAAATCTCTGTGGCAGTGGCAACTGTTAGGGAAACTGGAGCCACTCCTGAGGTTAACTACACTATGACATGTTTGATTAAAAGATATATTTGTAATTTTGTACATTTGTTTTTTCTTATACAGATAATTAAAATTGAGCCTCTGTACTTTGAAGCAGTTGCCCCTAATGATTCTTTTTCCCCCAAATGTCTTTATATCTTATAGCACAGAGACAGTATGCGCTTTATTGAAGTAGTTTTGTTGGAACCAGATAAACATGTTGTTGCACTGGCAGATGCTTATTTCTTTCCACCTTTCCAACCTTCATTACTTCCTATAGCTAAAGGAGGGGCAGTAATTCCCGTTAAACTTCCCCCAAGACGTGCTAGACTCGTTGTTTACTATAGGAAGACAAATGAGACTAGTATATGGATTGTTGAATTATCACAAGTACATGCAGTAACTCGAGGAGGTCATAACCGTGGGAAAGTCATTTCATCACACGTTGTTCCAGATGTTCAGCCTCCAATTGTATGTTCGTTTGTCCTTATTCTGACTCAATTTCTTAAAATCGTCAACTAGTATCAGTATTTGAAAGCAATTTAATTCCTTACTTTGGCTTCTGCTGAGAAACTTGCATAGAATATGTTATACCAACAGGAACAACGTCTGTAGAAGCATTTTACCTTGTTACTTTTTCATTTGTTTATGAATGAGAATTCCATAATAAGTATTGAATAAAAGATCAGCTCACAATCTTCAAATTCAAGTGGTTCAAGATCTTTACATATTTGTATTTTGTTTGCCTTTTATGTGATAAGTTGCAATTTCAATTCCCTAATGTTTTATTCTGTCCATCTTCAGGATGCTATGGAGTATGCAGAATGTGAAGCTGTTGTTAAAGATTTTACTCCATTTAGAGAGGCCATGAAGAAAAGGGGCATTGAAGACATGAACCTCGTAATGGTTGATGCATGGTAATTTTAGTTGTGTCCATTGTTTATAGATCTTTGTTAGGATAAGTTGCTATCTTTTGTTATGCATTTTCTGTATTTAAACTTTGTACTTCATAATTCTTCTGCAGGTGTGTTGGTTATTACAGTGAAGCAGATGGTCCGAATCGTAGACTTTCTAAGCCACTTATATTTTGCCGAGCCTCAAGTGACTGCCCTATGGAAAATGGCTATGCACGCCCAGTTGAGGGCATCTATGTGCTTGTTGATATGCAAAACATGTCAGTCATTGAATTTGAAGACTATAAACATGTTCCTCTGCCTCCGGTTGATCCCTTGAGGAACTATACACATGGTGAAACAAGTGGTGGATCTGATAGAAGTGATATAAAACCCTTGCAAATTGTTCAGCTTGAAGGTCCAAGCTTTCGGGTTGATGGGTCTTATGTTGAATGGCAAAAGGTTGATGTTGAATTGCTTCTTTATTGAGTTAGTTACTTATTTTGCTAATGTCCAACTAGTTGTATAACTGCCACTTTGTTCTTTTCCCGTTAATAGTGGAACTTTCGTGTTGGATTTACGCCCAGAGAAGGTTTGGTTATATATTCGGTTGCGTATGTTGATGGTAGTCAAGGGAGAAGGTCTGTAGCTCATAGGCTGAGTTTTGTGGAGATGGTTGTACCATATGGAGATCCTAATGAGCCACACTATAGGAAGAATAGTTTTGATGCTGGGGAAAATGGCTTGGGGAAAAATGCACATTCTCTCAAGAAGGTTTAAGTAGCCTTTAACCATCCTTTTGAATGTGTTTTATTTACCAAACTCATCTTTCTGATTGATTTTCAATCGGTCTAAAGTCAACTTTTGTTACAGGGATGTGATTGTTTGGGCTACATTAAATACTTTGATGCTCATTTCACAAATTTCACTGGTGGAGTTGAGACAATTGAAAATTGCGTTTGTTTGCACGAAGAGGATCATGGAATTCTGTGGAAGCATCAAGACTGGAGAACTGGCTTAGCAGAAGTCCGAAGGTCTAGAAGACTTTCAGTTTCTTTTATGTGCACTGTGGCTAACTATGAGTATGGATTTTTTTGGTACTTTTATCAGGCAAGTCAAACACCATATATTTGTAAGAGATAAATATGCTTAAAATTAATGACATCATATATTATCTGGTTTTTCTTATTGCATACTTTCACAAATATCCAATCTTACATCATCCTTTGAATTATAGTGAGGCAACTAACAGCCATTTATAAAATGTGATCACATCTTTATGCCCTATTAGTTGGTATTCCTTTGATTCAGAATTATTTTTATTAATCTTGTTCCAGGATGGAAAAATTGAAGCTGAGGTTAAGCTAACTGGAATTCTAAGCTTAGGAACCTTGTTACCCGGAGAGTTTCGTAAATATGGAACCATGATTGCCCCAGGTCTTTATGCTCCAGTTCATCAACACTTCTTTGTAGCTCGCATGAATATGGCTGTGGATTCTAAACATGGTGATGCTTTGAATCAGGTACTTTCAGTGGAAATGCAAAAAAAATTTTTTGTCCTACACTCGTACTATTTCAGTTTATGCTGCTAGTGTTGAACACTAATTAGCAGTGATCTTAAGTAATTTAAGTCATAGTTACCATTTTGAAGATTTCTTATATCTGAATTATGTGCAACTAAGTCAGGATTATTGATTGTATCAAAACTAGTGTCTTCTTCTTGTCTGTCTTGTTTCTCACTTTCTTTGATAAGGGGCTGCTTCGTTTTAAAGTTACATAAATGTGGCTACTTCCAAAATTTCATATTCATTCGAAATTGTACTTGTAATTAGAACTCTCATCTTCTAATAAACTTACATAACTTTGCTACTACATTTTTGTTTCTTTTCCATGTCCTCATTCTAAGCACTATCAAGATGCTTGGTAGGTCGTGGAGATCAATGTCAAAGTTGAGGAACCAGGGGAGCATAATGCTCACAACAATGCATTTTTTGCTCAAGAGACTCTGCTCAGATCTGAATTGGAAGCCATGCGTGATTGCAATCCTTTGACTGCTCGACATTGGATTGTAAGGCTTTCCCTTTTCCTAGGGCCAAATTCTCTATTCCATGTTTTTTCATACTTTGAAACTTAATTCTTATTTTCTATGGTGAAATAATCGATGTTTTTCTTGCTATCCAGTATCCACCAACAATTTTGCACGTAGTTTTACTTTCTTCATAAAATTTAGTTTTATTTTAACAAATCAGTTTAATCTACTTTTAGAAGTATTAGGCCAGTGTAATTTAAAATAAAAATATTAATGAGATGAGTCTACTAAGTGAGTACAACTTATCTCATATTAGTAAATTTTCTAAATCTATATCAGTTCGGTAATTTTGATAGCAAACTACATTAATTTGGTAAAAAACAGTTAAAATCATGTGTCTTGGAACATAGTTTTTGACTTGGTTCTTTAATGATGCTTCAGGTAAGGAACACAAGAATAGGCAATAGAACTGGACAGTTGACAGGCTATAAGCTAGTACCTGGTTCAAATTGTTTACCTTTAGCAGGTTCTGATGCCAAATTTTTAAGAAGAGCTGCTTTCTTGAGGCATAATCTTTGGGTAACACCCAATTCACACGATGAAATGTTTCCCGGAGGAGAATTTCCTAATCAAAATCCACGTGCCAACGAAGGAGTAGCTACATGGGTTAAGCAAAACCGATCTTTGGAAGAAACTGATATAGTTCTTTGGTCCTCTCTTTCTCACGCACATCCATTTTATGAAAATTTTGTTAAACGAAATTAGTAAAGTACCACTAGACAAGAAAAAATTTCCTATACGTATAACATAATGCATATAACTTTGTTAATTAATTTCAGGTATGTATTTGGAATGACACACATCCCTCGTTTAGAAGAGTGGCCAGTTATGCCAGTAGAACGCATTGGTTTCATGCTCATGGTAATTGTCTCGTTGATTTTTTCATATGTTTTTTTGTCTTAAACTGAGTGTGGGGTTTGTGTGACTGATCCGGTGTTGGTGGGTGCAGCCTCATGGATTCTTCAACTGTTCACCTGCAGTGGATGCCCCTCCTAGTCCATGTGAGTTGGATTCTAAAGATAGTGACATGAACGATACCAAGAAAACTGAGGGTGGCTTAGTGGCAAAACTTTAGACACTTGTTTTATACTCTTATGGTCACGTGTTGTCACGTAAAATTGTGGCTCATATTCTGTCATCGACTCTGAAACATCAAGTAGCTAGTGCAGTGCATGCAGATTATCTTTTTCAATCCATAGGATCTTAGTCGTGTTATATCCGTGTGTTTGTTGTGTTGTCTGCTCTCGTAGTACACGGATTCAAATACTTCTTTTAGAAGGTAAATATTCAACGTGCTTTAGAGCTGTTCTAGTGTTCTACGTAAAATAAAGAGCATACTTTAACTAATCAAAACCGGAAAAGCTCTTACCAAAAAGAGCAAAATTCTTTACGCATTCAACTAATCAATATCATCTTTCATATAATTTTTAAGATAATTATTATACAATTCAATAAATTTACAATAAAATATAGTTTGTGATTAAATGACATGTAAAATAATTTTACACTATTAATACATAGTCTTTTCTTGATGTTTTATTATTTTTATAAGAACCAATTTAAAATGTTTTATGCATTAACTTTTTTTTTTCTTTTCTTTTTTCAGGAAATGCTCTTATTAAAATCCTCTTAATTAAATCAGTAAGATAAACGTTTCATCAAGTTGTTGTTCAATTTTAATAAAATTTGACATACACATATAAATTGATATGAACTTTCAATCTAACGGTTGGATTTACAAAATTCACATTTAATTTAAAGTTATTGAACGGTGTAACACTTAGTAAAAGTTACATCAGTGTCGTTTGAACTCTCCTCTCTCTCTCTCTCTCTCTATATATATATATATATATATAAAGAACATTTAAAATGTTCAGGTTTTTGTGGAATCAAAAATTTAATTACATAAGAGCATCTACAACACTGTTATATTACTCATAAGCAATTTATATTACATTTTTATAATTTTTACTCTAATGAAAGTTGTTTATAAGCACCTTTACTTTTTAATCACTCATATTTTATTTTTAATAAATTTTAAAAAAATTAATTATTATAGTTATTGACATCAATAAAGGAAGGAAATATTAAATTATTTTTTTATTCTTAAGCAACCGTCTCTTATATAAGCAACGATGCTTAAATTTTAGTAATTTGACCTACCATGTCAGCATGCACTAATGTAGGTTTCTTATAAGCAATGCGAGTTTAAAATTAAGAAGCAGATAAGAACCTAACATTAGAGATGCTCTAAGAGCTTAGTTCAAAAGAAGGAAAATAAAAGAGCGCTTGAAAAATTATAAAAAAAAGAATTTCACATGAGATTAATATGATAATTGTTATTACAAATTAATGGAAAAGGGTATATATTTTAGTTAAATAAAAATAAAGAATAAAACAGAAAATAGATGAAAAGAAATAAGTAATTCAGAGTTTCGAGAGATAAATTAATCTTAATTAGTATTTTAGCATGTGTAATGTACATATTAAATATTTACCATATATAACTAAATTTAAAATAAACTATTCATATAAATAATTATTATATTTGAATATATAAATTTATAATTAATTTAAATAAATAAATATTTTTAAATATCTAAATTATATTTTTAATTTATGATACATAATCTAAATTGTAGTATAAAATTATATTTATTTATTGATAATTTATTTTAAAATATTAAAATTTAATTCATAAATACTTATGATAAATGAAAATTGAATTAGATGTGAAATTAAAAAAATCTATAAAACTGTTCTCGCATAAAATAACAGTCTGTGTTTTATATAGGAGTTGATAAGAATGGGGCAAAGTAAGGATTTTGGTATCCCTTTATAATATGTATAAATTTATTTAATTATAAAATAAAAATAAAAAATGAAAGAGAAAATAGATGAAATAAAATAAGAGAGTGAAAGTTTTAAGAGGTAAATTAGTCATAATAAAAATAGAGATGTAAAGATTCTGATATCCTTGTTATAATATTAACTGACCTTATTTTAAGAGGATGACCGACCAATCTATCATGTCAATTACAATGACTAAATTAAAAAGTTGAATTTAAAATAGGAACCACTACTTAATAAATACGTTCGAGATATGTGAAACCTAAAAATTATGGATATAATAGAAAAACGTTGAGATCAACAAAACTCTACCATTAGGTCAAAAAGAAGAAGACGTTGGGTATCAGGTAGGTATTCATTGAAGGAGAAACACATCTAAAAAAGAAAGAGAGAGAAAAACTATTGAATTCTTCAATGATAATATCTTCTTTATAATGGGAACAAATATGTATGTATGGATAATAAAAATGATTAAAGATTTTGATATCCCTTATATAATATGTATAAATATATAGACAATATATGAAATATTATTAATATACTTTTATCATAAGTTTAATAATTTTTTATTCATTAATTTTTTAATTAAATATCTTTAACATACTAATTATCAATATGTTTACTAGTCTTTCTACTCTAAAATTTGTGATACTTTATTTTTTTTAATCTAAAACAAATGGTATTTTTAAAATTCTCAAGTTTTATTAATTATTTTTTGTACATATTTTATTTAATAATTATTATTAGAATTCTTTAAAATAATTATATACCTACACTTTATTTAAAAGACACGTTAACATAAGTTAACACTTATCAAGAATAATAGGAGGGAAGACTTAGAGGGCCATGGTCGTTCTATTTATTTAAAAATGTATCAAATTTAATTTAAAAATATTTTTTTTCTTCTTAAATTTATATAAAAAAAAATATTATAGATTGATAAATAAAAATTATCATATTAATTTATATTTTTTTCTAAAAAAATGAGATTAATATATAATATGATAGAAAGAGTGATAAAAAATATAAATAATAATGAATTATTTATAATATTAAATTATTTACGTATAGTTAAAAAAAATCTTGATTCACAAAGATCTAGCATCGCTCTTAAACCTTATAAATTAAAAATATTTTAAATTAAAGATAATAATATGTTATACTTATTAATATAATTTTGAAATATAATTTTGAATTTATCATGAGCCTTTGATGAGGTTCTACATAAAAAGCAGTCAAGTCCATTGCCATTGGGCCCGAATATGAAACTCATTGTTTTGTTTTGAGCGACATTATTGAAGCCATGTTGCACGCCACGGCAGCAGCGTCAGTGAAAACGTAACAAGCAGGTTATTTGAGAGAGACGTGGCACCCTCTCATTTGCATCTTCTACTAAACGACAATTTATGCCCACGTCAGATTTCAATTATGAGAAAAAGCTACCTCAACTCCTCAAATACTCTACCCCAGACTTAGACTTTTCTTTTCTATATTTAAAAGTTGCTAATTAAAAATGAAAACTTCAATTTGTTTTTTTATTTATATATTTTTTTAATTCATTTTAAGTTAATAGTACATTTTAATTTGAAATAAAAAATAAAAAACAAAAAATATTCAATTTAAATTTCTAATTTTATTTAAAGTTATATTTTGAAAATTAATTCTTTTTAAAATTATATATTTCAAGACATTTGTTTCAACCTAAATAATTAATTCAGGTTCAAGTCATATGAATATCCGATTGCTTTAAATACTTGAAGAAGGTTGTACATAGTAGTTTTTCTTGACTTAAACAGTTAAACATGACTGTTTTAATTGAAGATATATGTTGTTTATATTAAAAAGATTACTTACCTCAAAGTTTTCAAAGAAAAAAGTACATATTAACATAACATCCTTTAATGAAGAATGTTTTGACTTTTGAAGTAAATGCTTTTAAAATAACTAAATAATTTTTTAATTTTAATTTCAACTTTTAAAACTTTTAAGCAATTATATCTCCTAACCTCTTGTTTATTTTAGAAGTAAATTTAATGAATAATTTTAAATTTTTATAATAATGTATTTCACAATAATCTTTTAGGAGTTTCTCTTTTAATATGAAAATATTTTTAAGTGTTTTCTTTGAGAGAATTTTCTTTTTAACTTCTTATCTATTTTAAATTTTATTTATTTTTAAAATAAATTATCAATAATAAAAATAATCTTATGTCATAATATAAATTATATACCATAAATTTTATAATATAATTTATATAGTTAAAATAACTTATATATTTAAATATAATATTTATTTGTACATAAAATTTATTATAGATTTTAGTTATATATAATAAATATTTAATCTATATATCGTACAAATTAAAATATTAATATAAAATTAAAATATAAAAAAATCGAGAAGAAAGAGTGAAAATGAAATAGAAATTAAGAAGTGAAAGTTTTTTTATTTTTTTATTTTTTATAAATGAAACAGGTAGAAAAGAAATAAAAATGAGACAGGACCCAAAATAAAGTTTTTCACACAAAGAAGTTGTAAGCAACGAAGAAATTCTCACACATTGAAATTTAATTGATTAAATTATATAGTTAATCAATTGAATTTCATATTTTCAATTAAAATCTTTTGTTTTTCTAAATTTAATTAATTAAAATTTTAATTCAATTGATTAAATAAAAAATGATGAATTAAAAATTATTTTTCAGAATCTTTGTTTTCCCTATATGAATTCACCTTTGTTTTTTTCTTACGTTTTATCTTCCTAGGAAACGCATTTCATGATTTGGGACAAGGGACGAAAGAATCGTGTTCTAAAGTATGAATATTTGGATTTGGCTTTGCATTGTCAACAACAACCTTTAGTTGACTGGAGTCCAAGTCTCTAACGGGCAACGCTGATGATCCATCCTCGCATCTCGATTCTTCTCATTTAATATTATTCTATTCTCTTACTCCTTTCCTTCCTACCATTTCCTCTGCATCTTCTTCAATCTCATCTATCAATAAAAAAAGACCTTCACAGTCCACACTCTCCCTTTTTTGGTAAAAAATATGATCAACGAATGTATGTTTGTCCTTTATTTGAATTTTCCCTATCTATATTAATATTAATCATTTTTATATTATTAATATATTAATATTAGTGACTTACTACTATTCACAGACGGAGAGTCGTGTAGGAAGGAGGCAGCAACACACAACGTTTTCATGCTCTACTC